GCTACCCTCGTGCTGAGTACTCCTGGTAGACCCAGCATCAGCAAAGGCAGAATGCATTGCCGTCACCGAGTCCCCAGGCACTAAGTCCTCCGGTTGTCCAGAGCCCAACACAKAAGTATCAGGCTCCGAAGCCAGAGTAAGAGTTGTTCCAGTCACTGTACTGGCCTGCCCAGCCTGGTTCCCCACCAGATAGACCAGAGGCACAGTTCTAACGCTCTGAAGGAAATCTGGGTCTTGCATCACATCGTAGTCGTCCTCCTCCTTTTTAATAACAATAAGAAATCAGTTAGGCTAAATTAGATCTTGTTATAAATATATGATCTCAGGAGTACTGCATGTAAAGATCACAAACTTGCTCATCCTTTAAAGTCAGTTWTTTTTCCCCATGGCAAACAAATAATCTTTGCATTTTCGTGTAGACACCCAAAATTAAATCTTTAAAATAATAAATTTAAAAAAATGATGTCACAGCTCCACTTCTAATCCATCTTGTTGTTTCTTCTTCTTGTTTACATTTCACACCCAGTGTGTAAACTTCACACACGCTCCACACCCTGTTTCTGATGTATTTCTATGTTAGCATTACAGCACCACATCCAGGCCCAACATGCCTACTAGGGTTTTGTGTCAATTTGGGCAWTTCCATGTGAATGAAGGCATTTTTAGTAACAGTACTGTTTTTAACTAGGTTATTTTTTATAGAAATGGCAAATTAATATAAATCATGTTCAGAAAAGCTGTTTTTGAACTGATAAGATTCAGGAGTTAAAATAACCCTCTACCTCATTAAAAAAATAAAAATAAAAAGGGCACAGGGTGCGCAAGTTGAAGGTTATGCTGATTTTTAATAAAATCATTTAAAAAAGCAAAAACACCAGTAAAGGCTGCTAGCCCTTATGAATTAAGAAGTATTTAAAAAGGACAAAATATTTAATAGTCAAGAACGAATGTGCTTTAGCTTTTTGATTAAGCATTTAAGCATTAAGCATTAGATGTGTAAAATTACAAACAATTCAAATTATTATTTTTTAAAATTATTATAGTATTTATTTCATTTTAAAAACAAAACATTACATACAACAAACAAAAATCAAATCAAATGAAAAGGCCTCACCTTTGTTGACTCTGCAGTCTCCATGGGGCCTTCTGTGTTCGTTTCACCATACTCTGTTAACCAATAAGAACTTATTTTACTGACACGCCTAAAGAAGTAGTTTGATTTACAACATAAACTAATTTTACAAGTGAAATTCACCTCCTCCAGCAAGAGACATCTGCATGGCATAGGCGATCTGCTCCTCCTCTGTCATGCTGCTGAAATCAGGAAGCACCGCTGCGCCGCTCTCAGGCTGAGATACTGACATTTTCAACAAGGCCTCCTCCGATTCTGCAACGAAAATGCTAACAGTAAACAAACCACATCCTTCTTTGTTTTTTTTTTTAAATCAGTGCGCCAAGATGTAATAAAATATTCTAATTACCATCAGCGCTGGGTGTGGGCACGCCTGCCTCAGCAGCAGAAGCAGCAGCAGCTCTACGGGCCTCCTCCTCCTGCCTCTGTCGCTGCTCCTCCATCGAAACACGCAACGCCTAAACAAAAAACCACCAGAAACAAACATTCATACCTGCATTCACATGTAAAACTTATCTTTCATTCTAAACATGGAACTGTGGGTGAAGTCAGCTGAAAACGTAGTCAATCCTAAAACTGCTTATCTTTATGGCATTTTCAAAAATTTCCTGCGGTTTTAATTATCCAGCWTGACACTTGTGCACATTTATCACCTACCAAGGCCAGCTCTGGATCGGCACTTGGGTCCACACCAAACTCAAAGTCGCTGGCGCCGAGACCCATCATTGAGCCTCCTTCACCGGCCAGGATTGGGGAGGACAGCAGAGCATCAGCCAGACTGGGCCCAGGAGGGACTGTGACCAGGTGGGACCCTGTTCCCTCCTTCCCATTTAGAGTGTTAATAAAAGCAGTCAGCTTTTCTGTGTTGAACTCCTAAACACATGATATAGTTATAAGTAGAAGCATTTAAAATCATGAAAAACTCTGTTATACTTTAAATTACAAGTTGTTGTTATAGCAGATAAATCAACAATTAATGACCTCTTCTCCAAAGTTGATGATGTCTACATTGACTTTCTCTTTTTTCAAGCGCTTTGCCAACTTCACGAGCTGCAACGTCAGCAGGTTGGGACAGAAACAAGAAGGGATAAAGATAAACAAATCAAGTTAACTTACCCCTAACAAATAAATGAACATTTCCCTCTAAGGGATTGACCTAAAACACAAGACTTTAAACTCACATCTTTTTCCATATCCTCCACTGGACTTCCAACAAATGCAATGATCCTCATTTTGTGGTTTTTTCCTTGTCTGTGCTTTAAGGCCAGCTGCAAAAAATAAAATAAAATTAAATAAAAT